CTCACTCCATGGCGGAACTTGGTCCCATATGTGAGTGCGTGCTCTCTGCTTGGCCACTGATGTCAGTTGAAAAACTGGGTTTTGGATCAAGCCCTTCCATTCTAAGCATTTTGTATTTCCAAAAGATGTTGCCTCATAGTGCAGAGTGCTCCTGTACAAATTAAAGATTATTCACTTTCTAAAAAGTCACTGAAATGTGCTACAGTATCTCCCAAATGGCACACAAGAGCACTCAATAATTTCAAAAGTAGACAAGTATGGTGCCTTTTATACAGGGTCATCATTTAAAAATTCAATAAGTAACAGTAAGGAGACCAGCCCTCATGCAATACAATAACATTAATGCAAAAGAAATGTTGGTATTGGGAGAGCCCTTGGCCAAGGTGACCACATGGACTGCAGGGAGATTGGAATAGTTCAATTTTTAAAGAACTTTTTATGGTAGCTCCTAGAAACTTGCCAAAAATGCATCTCCTAACTTTTTTCTTATAACAAGAGTGAGAACGGCTTTTGTTACATTTTCAACCACTCAGGTAATCAGAATGCATGCCATGTGATTCCAATCATCTGTTGCCATTCCAATCAATTTGGTATGCAAATTAAATTCAGAAGAGGGCTTAAACCTTTTGTTTCAAGTTTCTGTAGGAAAGTGGAGATGCCTTATTTAGCTCACGAGAAGTATCAGTCTAGAGATGTTATGTTTTCCTTGACCGCCATTTTCTTTCCAGTTTCTTTTTAAGTCTTGTTTTTAACACAATTATTTGGCTCATGGACAGTTAGTTGGGTAATTTCATGCAGATGGCCCCAAAGAGACAAGGACTCCATTATCTGTAAGTGTCAGGTGACCAAGACAAGGGCAGAGAAGGCGCCAGGTCTAGGGGTCAGAGCAGACACCAGGAACCAAGGCCTAGGTCTAGGGTCAGAGCCAGAGTCAGTAGTTGGAAGCTGGAGCCAAGAGTCAAGCTAATACCAAAGCCAAACCAGGGTCAAGACAGAGGACAGGAACTGGATACCAGAGCCATGGGTCAATTCAGAGTCTGCAGTCAGAAGCCAGAGCCAAGGGACAAACTGGAAGTAAGGAACTGGAGCAAGCAGGGTAGCAGGCAAGGAGGGACTCAAGGCAAGGGCAGGACAGAGGGAAGGTTGGATGCAAGGCAGGAGCAGCAGGAACCAGGTAACACAGGAGCAGGTGCAGTGGTCAGCATGAACATTGAGCCCCTCCAGCTAATCAGGTGGCATGCCTAATCAGGCAGCTGACTGCGGCCTGCTGTATGATGAAGCTGGCCTGGAGACTAGCTCTGCTGCAGGCCCAGATTCTTGACCCTAAGGAAAGGTGAAGGGTCAGGAATTTCTGGAGCCTCATTCCCTACTCCAGGTCTCAGTTAAACGGGCATGGACAGAGGTGCCCTCTCTTAGTAAGGCATGTTGGAAACTGCTGTAGGTAGGCAAAAACCAAAAGAGATGGGAGTTGGAGGGGGTGTGGATGACAATTATCTAAATTATTTTTCCCACTCTTGGCCAGGTTGGACTGGTTGTCAAATAAACATGAAACTTCCAGTAGAGTATTTACAGTATCACTAAAAATCATAGACTCATTACTCATATTACACTTTCCCTTTATTACCTTAAAAAAGCATAGTACATTGATATCTCTAGAAATCTTGAGTATAATGTTTGCTCAAGTGGACTTATTAAAAATTGCATGATTTAAACGGGAACTATTATATGCCTTAAGTCTGTTTTATAGACTATGAGGAACAACATATGACAGTGTTTTGTTTTTTGCTACAAGTGAAATAGAACAATTTGGGCTTTTCTGTTGTGAATTATTAACATACTAGTTTTTACTCCATTGGCTTCAATGGCATTAATTTTTGCTTTATCCATGTACATCCTGTCCTCGCCCTCTTTGGTAGTCTGATCCAAAGCCCATTGAAGTCAATGAAAACATTCCCTTTGATTCACTGGGATTTGAATCAGGCCCTACATCATTTTGCCTTTAGCTTTCTGACACTAAGATGCTGATTTTTCAAAGACAACCCAGGTTTATGTGGTATAATTTTTACCTGCTTATTTTTTCACTTAGCAACGGTGTTAGGGGTTATTTTTATTACTTTACTGAGGAGGTAAATATACCAATTTTGCAGAGCAGATATAATGCAACTACAGGAGTGCATGTTATCTCCCATGCTGCACTGGACATAAAGAGGTATTGTTTAGTGACCTATTGGATCAATCTCGTTAAGGATTTGCGGTAGACATTCAAGAAAGTGTAGGAAGAAGTGGTTGATATTTTATTATGAGTCATGGTTGTCATCAGGTTGTCCTTATGTTTCACAGGGGCCTTATCCTGCTGTTTGTAGCCATTCAGTAAAATATCTAGTAGTACAAATCCTTCCCTGCCCAGCAGAACAATGGATAGATGCAACCCAGTGGATCTTCTTCCATGTGGTTCCTGCTGGCCAGGCTAAGACTGCATGTGGATATCTGGGTATTGTACTGTGAGGTACATTTTGCTACTCCTCTGAGCTGTCCCTGATGTACTTGCCATCTGCCTACGTGGGAATTAGGTGCTTTAATAACCTTTGAGGATTATTTGGGCCATATACCCTAACTCTTGACCAACATGCCTTTGGATCTTACTCCTACAACACTGTACTCAAAGGAATTTGTGCCAGTTGAAATCAATGAGCAGTAGCAAGCCCATGGTGTACAGGCTGGTGCTTACACTGGGTTTCCATCCTTCCTCATTCCTATGTGCTGTGATGGCAGCATATCCTGCTGGTCACATTCAGGGAAGTTTCCCCACACCTGTTCCCATCACCACTTTGTACAGCAGAGGGCAGGATTGAGCCTTGGTTTGATTTCTTGGGTTCCCCCCCTTGTTTTCTGCATTTCATTGTTTGTGTAATGTGCGCCTAAACACTTTTTAAACTTAATTTTCAAACAAATCGACGATATAGGGAAAGAAATAATGTTCTCAGTTTCACCCATACGACTTTTTGGCTTTATTGGGACTGCCTCTGGGTTAGGGTTGCAAACTTTCTAATTGCACAAAACTGAACACCCTAGCCGCTCCCCTTTACTGAGGCCCTGCCCCCTATCCCATCCCTTCACCAAGGCCCCGCCCCCAGCTCACTACATTCTCCCTCCCTCACTGGCTTGCTCTCCCCCACCCGCACTCACTTTCACTGGGCTTGGGCAGGGCAGGGCAGGGCTGGGGTGTGGGAGGGGTGAGGGTTCCGGTTGGGGGTGCGGGCTCTGGGCTGGGGCTGGGGCTGGGTGGTTTGGGATGCAGGAGAAGGCTCTAGGCGGGGGGGGGGGTGGGAGTGGGGGTTGGGATGCAGCAGGGGGTGAGGGCTCTGGGTTGGGGCCAGGGATGAGGTGTTCAGGGTGTGGGAGGGGACTCTGGGCTGGCTGGGGGTGCGGGCTCTGGGGTGGGGCTGGGGATGAGGGCTTTGGGGTGCAGGAAGGGACTCTGGGTTGAGGGGGAGCTCACGGCTGGGGCAGCAGGTTGGGGTGCTCGGGCAGCTCCCAGTCAGCGGTGCAGCGGGGCTAAGGCAGGCTGCCTACCAGTCCTGGCACTGTGCTGCGCCCTGGAAGCGACCAGCTGGTCCAGCACTAGTAGGTGGCGGTGGAGGGCAGGAGGCTCCGTATGCTGCTCTTGCCCACAGGCACTGGCCCCCTCCACCTCCCATTGGCTGGGAACTACCCAATGGAGAGCAGAGTCGGTGCTTGGGGCCCCTGCTCCTAGGAGCTGGACATGCTGGCTGCTTCGGGGGCACAGCGCATTGCCAGGACACATAGGGACTAGCCTGCCTTAGCACCGCTGACCAGACCTTTAATGGCGTGGTCGGTGGTGCTGACCAGAGCCGCCAGGGTCTCTTTTCCACCAGGTGTTCCCGTCGAAAACCGGACACCTGCTCACCCTACTCTGGGTACAGTTTGCAAAAAATCTTTATTAATAATCTAGTAAAGGGAATAGGGCAATTACTGATTAAATTCACAAATTATTCTAGACATGGAAGAATCTAAAATGACATCAGGATTAGAAATATTGGACAGAAAATGACAAGATTCAGTTTGGAAACAGGTTAATATAAGAGAATACATTTGGGAAAGAATAATCCAAACTACAGCTATTATCTTGGGAGATACTTAAAAATCAATACTTCAGAATGACTAAATAATACTAGGCTGCAAATTAAATATACATTTGCGATGAGTTAGAGCAGCAATAAAAAAACAAAGTACGATTGTTTGGGGCCAACTCTGCAGAAGCATAATGTCTTGTGGCAGGAATCTCCATGTGAACGTTTTGGAATTGGAATATTGCTGACAGTCTTGCTAACAAAATATCTTGACAAATAGGAATAAGGTTAGAAAAGTGCAAAATAGTTAAGGTGTTGATTTATGAGAGAACTTTTAAAAGAGTGAAAAGTGCACAGATTGACTAAATGGTGCCTAAAAGGACCACCTAAGGCTATGAATATTTTGGAGGATATAAACACTTAGGAGGGAAGAGAATAACTGGGGATATAACTAGAAGTAATGAGATGATCAAGAAAAGGAAAAATTCAGATGAATACCAGGAAAAACTACCTGATAGATAGATGAGACTGCAAAACAACCTCCCAAGGGAAATGATTATATCATGTAACATGGGGTATTTAAAAGTAGACTGAACAAAACCCTAATAAAATAGTAGGGAAGAGTCTTAAATTGTTATGGAGCTGGGCAAGATGACATAAGAGGTCTTTTTCATCTTTAAATTGTATGAAAGGGGAGAATCTTGAATAGTTCTAAATACAGTATTATAGAAATACAGGGGGCCACATGTGACAAGCACTTGAAAGGAGCTTCCTAGAAGTCTAGGTATTGAAATAAATGTATCGGAGGAAGACAGGTTAGTTTGTTCTTGATATCACTTTATTGACTCCCTGAGCTTATTATTTTAACTAACCTCAATGATTACATACTTTACTTTTTAATCATTACAGGTGCATTTGCTTGCAAGATGGTACCATTTGTTCAATCTGCTGCTATTGTTGCGGAGATTCTCACGATGACCTTCATTGCTGTGGAAAGGCATCAGGGAATTGTGCATCCGTTAAAAATGAAATGGCAGTACACCAACAGAAGAGCTTTCACGATGCTGGGTAAGATCATAGGCAACTCCAGTATTCATATAACACACATCATTGGCAGGTTGAATGATTTTGTTGTGTGTAACTGGTGTGGGAGGTTTGCATAGTAGAGAAGGTATTGATCTGTGCAATGGTACAGATTTACTGCTGAGTCTAGCCATATTACATGACGCAGCTCAGAAATACTGTCCATGCCATCCCTTGCCTTTCTACTTCACCTCTATCCCCTTTTTTAAAATTAACACCATCCACAACTTTCTCAATCTGCTTGCCTCAAAAGCCGGATTTTGTTTTTTCACAAACTAACACGCTAATGTAAATCAAAGTTAAGTTCCCTGTTCTGCGGAGCATTAAAAAGATGTTTGTTTGTTTGTTTGTTTACAGGAATAGTCTGGTTGCTGGCAGTTATTGTTGGGTCACCTATGTGGCATGTACAGCGACTGGAGGTATGGTATGATATATAATGTAATCACACTCTCAGAGGGAGCCCTTGTTTCAAACTTCGCTCTTGCAGGGTCTCAGCAACAAGGCTGAATAAACTCCCAATATTTATGAGAGGTGATAACGCAGAATGTGGTCACAAGCTACTGTAAATGTTGAGTCAGTGTTTCTTATATAGAGCAATTGATTTTGTAATCTGACTTTCTGGGCCCACATTGTAAAAAGAGAAAATGGAGACACACTTTTAATATTGTCACTGGCAAAGGATTGTGTGCAATTTTGGAAAGCCTTTACTTCAGGGTGTGGGCCGAATTTGGCACCTGGGGCATTTGGATTGCCTCCCTGTAACCTTGTGATGGCTTTCCATACTACAGTGCCTACTTGTAGTTGTGCTTCTCTCCCTATCTTGAAGATGAAGAGTTGCATCTGTGCCTTGCACTGCACCTTCCCATTGCTTTTTATCAGCAATGACACAAAATAGCTTGGGACTTTGAAAATGAATATCTTTACGTGACATGGCATGTTCCTATAAATATTTTTCCATAGCTATTACATTTTAAGCAACGGTTACTCCATTCAAAACCTTCATTAACTGTTAGAAGCAGCTATTTGGGAGTCTGGATTTTTAAAAAATCCTTTAAAAAGTGTAACTTGGCATATTGGTGTTGGAGAAAGGGTCACAGTAGTCTATACAGACGAGCTATGTACTCTTGGTTACAAGCTGTGTGTGTGTGTGTGGACAGTTATTTTTTCGGAAATCCTTGTTTGTTGGCTGACAAGACAAATTTGTTCTGTAACTGATTTAAGTTTGAGAAGTTTTCAGTCAGCCTCCATAATTACAACTGTGTACAGATACTTGCATTTATGCATGCAAACCAAAGCCCTGACCCTGCAGTCTGATCCACCTGGGCAGATGCCCTGCACCAGTGCAGGGTCGGGCTGACTTCAGTAGGATTCTGTGTGCGTGGCAGGGGGAGCGGGCTGCTTATGTGGATTTAGTTGCAGGATCAGGGACCAGATCACATGTTTAAATATGCAGCTGTACCTTTTGTTCACATGAAAATGGATGTGCTGACCAAATTGGCATTTAAATTATATATATATTAAAAAATGCCAGGGTTAAACAATGTTTTTAGATATGTTTGGCTTTTTTTAGCCTTCCAAGAAGCTTTTGATAAATTACCTCAAATGAGGTTATTTATCAAAAGTCTCTTGGAAGGCTAAATAAATTGGCTGCACTGTTTCTCTTTCATCCACTATTTAGTTCTGTGTTTTATATTTGTCATTAACTTATTGATTTGTATTAACGATTAATATTACTACTACTTATTAATGTTACTTTAGCCACTTTAAAAGTGTGATACGTGCTATTGAAAAACAGTCCTTGCCCCAACCCCAGTTGTAGAGAAAAATTAAAATAATACATTTGGGGCAGGCTGATGCTTCCTTTGTGGTAATGTAAATCAACCTGACTTTGACCAGTGGTACACAGAGAGCCAGTGTACCTGATCCACAGAAAACATGAGCCCACTACAGCCCTAGCTAGAAAACACTGTATCTGTTTAGCTCAAGCTGTACAGACTCATGTTTGGCTCTGGAGGACCCCAGTTCAATTCCTGTTGTATTGGCCAAGATGGCCAGCACAACCTTAAAACAGCCCAAACAGCACATTGTTTCAGCACATCTTAGCAGCTGCCTCCAGGAGAAACTGACACTGCCCTCCCCAGCATAAACCCTGAAGGAGGGTGTCAGTTAAAACACCTCTTGCTCTTCCTGGAGGGCAATCCCTTCGCTGCAGAGAGGAAGTACAGTTTTTACCCTGCATAAACTATGGTGAATGCAACCCTTTACATGGAAAATGCATTAGAAGAATAGTCTCACTAGAAAGGTGTCTCTACTGAATTCCTGCTATAAAGCAAGGGGCTTTAGAACATGTGACACTCTTCATAGTTAGGGTCCTTATTAAAGTGACTCATTTCTATTTCATTTGTTATAGATTAAATATGATTTTCTGTATGAAAAAGAGTATGTTTGCTGCTTGGAAGAGTGGACCAGTGCTGTTCACCAAAAGATATATACCACCTTCATTCTTGTCATACTCTTCCTTCTTCCACTGATGCTGATGCTTCTGTTGTACAGTAAGATTGGTTATGAACTCTGGATTAAGAAACGAGTGGGAGATGCTTCAGTTCTTCAAACCATTCATGGGAATGAAATGTCTAAAATATCAAGGTTTGTAATGTAAAACCAAAGAATTAGAACTTTCAGTCTTGAAAAGCAAATCTGGGGACTGGAAAGAAGAAAAGTTACGGACAAGATTTTCAAAAGTGACTAATGACTAGGACCCTACCAAATTCACCATCCATTTTGGTCAATTTCACATGCATAGGATTTTTAAAATTGTAAATTTCATTATTTCAGCTATTTAAATCTGAAATTTCTCTGTGTTACAATTGTAGGGGTCCTGACCCAAAAAGGAGTTGGGGGGGGTAACAAGGTTATTGTAGGGGGGGTTGCGGTACTGCTACCCTTACTTCTGTGCTGCTGGCGGCGCTGCCTTCAGAGCTGGGCGGCTGGAAAGCGGCAGCTGCTGGCTGGGAGCCCAGCTCTGAAGGCAGAGCCACTGCCAGCAGCAGCACAGAAGTAAGGTGGCATGGTATGGGTTTGCCACCCTTACTTCTGCGCTGCTTCTGGTGGGGCGCTGCCTTCAGAGCTGGGTGCTCTTCAGCTGCCCAGCCCTAAAGGCAACGTAGAAGTAAGAGTGGCAATACCGTGATGCCCCTAACATAACCTTGCGATCCCCTTGCAACTCCCTTTTGGGTCAGGACTCCCAATTTAAGAAACACTGGTCTCCCCCTTGAAATCTGTATTGTATAGAGTAAAGGCACACAATAGACCAGATTCCATGGGGGGAGACCAGATTTCGTGGTCTGTGACGTTTTTTTCATGGCTGTGAATTTGGTAGGGCCCTACTAATGACTTGATATTTGGTGCCCAATTTGAGACAAAGGGCCTGATTTTCAAATAGTGCTAAGCACCCAATCTGAAAATTGAACCCTTTTCAGGTGTGCCACATTGTGCACCTAAAATTTACACTTTTAAAAATGCAGGTCATGAGTTGGGAGGAAGAAGCAGTTCCTGAGGCAGATTGGGAGTGATCAAATGCAGTTCCTTTTAGAATCCACCTGGAATAAGATCAATAATATCAAAAGTTTTCTAAGGTGAGTTCATTATTTGTGTGTCTATAACCACTGTTCTATCAGCCTTTTAAAAATGAAAGTAGTATATTAAAAAAGAATCGGAACCTACCTGAAAACTAATTTGATACATTTTAATTGGGCAGTTTCTAAAAAGATCTAAATGCCCTCAGTCTTTTTCTGCCTCATGAGACCATCCAGATGGAAACTTTGTGTTTGAAATGCAATTTAAAAAATGAATAAGTAAGAAGTAGGCATCAAAATGGTATCGTTATTTACACTTCTTTGTAATTTAGTGTAGCAATTATCCTACTTTATATATTACACTGTAGTTTTTCTTTAATTTGGCAAGTTTGTTTCCTGGTGTGATGGCAACTTCTAGCAATACATGCACAGAAAACAGGATAGTACCACATTAAATACTGAATCCAAGGAGCATAATAAGTAGCAGCTTAAAGAGAAAAGATTGCTCAATCAAGTGGCTGCTAACATCAATCGAAATGAGGATGAGGATGACAATGAAGTTGCAAAACTGAACGAAATAGTAATGTGCCATGCTTGTAAAGTGTGTGCCAGACCCCAGCTAGTGACTCCTCCACGTAGAGGATAAGGTTCTACTACTTCTGTCCGCCAATAGAGTTGCTACTTTAGCTCAAGTGATAGAAATTTATATTGGGTTCGTAACACCTGGCGGTAATAGTGTTTTATGGGAGTTCATGAATAATGATGATTCCAGGCATACTCTGAGCCTGCAAAGTGTTTTGGTGAAAGCAGGGCCTGTACCCCTAACAGATGGTGCAGACCCCATTCCTCCAAACACTATCCTATAGGAGCAAAAATTATTAGGCAATGAGGTTCCATCCAGCTCCTTATCCATGTTGGACACTGACAGAGTAATGAGACATTACAGACACAGTCAATATTCCAGGTCCCAGGAAAAGATCCTTGCTTTTTGATATATCATGGATTTTTGAGAAGTTTCTCCATCTCTAGGTATCAGAATTAGACTTGCTTGAACAGCTATAACAACAAAATTGATTTTTAAAATACAATATTCTCTACATTGCTTACCATAACTTAAATACTTACCTTTTACATTAAAAGTGTTAAGTAAAAGCTGTTAAATTATTAAATACCACATACTTACATATATGTCTGAAACAGCTACATAGAATGATCCGTCCATGTTTTTAATATATCATGTCGTGTCTGGGCACCTTAACTTCAGCCCCAAACAGAAACTTTGGGCCAAGATTTTCAACAGTGACTCATGTTTTGGGTACCTGTGACCCAGGAGCCCTTCTATCACCAAAATATATTTTGTTTTCCTTTGGGTTGGCTGGGGCATAGGGCCCACAGTATCCATTGCCACCTTAAGAAATGCCTCCTTGATCACAGGTAAGGGCCGAATGGGAGTTTTTTGAGACCCTGCAGGTCCTTAGACTTTGGACATAAATCACAAGACCTGCAATAGTCTCCCATCTCATATCTGGCCAATAAAAGTTCCTTTTCAACCTTTCATAAGTCTTCCGAGTCCCCAAGTGACCTGCAAAAGGACAGTTGTGGGGTAATGTCATTAGCTTCTTGCAATGCTTAACAGGCACAATCAGTTGCTTGTAAAGCTTTCCAGGATTTTTAATTTTCCCCATAGGACTTTCTCTATACATCCTTCCCTCCTCTTCAAAAAACCTTTCCCTGTTTCCCCTAACCGGGGTTCCCCCAAGGATAGGTCTCATGCTATCTAGGGGTGGGTCTGCTCTCTACTCTGGTGCAAATTCCTGCTGTTAGCTCTGATCGGAGCCTACTCCACTGGGACTGGGAGTGGCTCTGTCCCACTTGTCCTTGGAGAGTCCCTGTGTCTGTCTGATAAGTCGGGCCAAGGATGTCCCTTTCCCCTGAGCTGTTTCTCTGTCTTTACAACTCCTTTCTGGAACTACAGAGCACCATTCATTTTTACTGCAGGTTACTATATTAATAGCTTTAGACATAGTTAGTACATTACTTCCCACAAGAATTTCTGCTAGAATGCAATTCAATATACCAAATTTTAAAATGCCTTCCAGACCTTCGCACTCTAAGTACACTTTAGGTAAAGGTACCTAAAACTTCCCAAAGCCAGGAGTTCTACCCTTTTTCCATACAGCATGCCAATCTCCCTAACAATGCCTTCTCTGAATCACTTACAAATCTAAGTTATCAGTGCTTGAAGTGTGAACCTTAGTCAACCAGCATGTTGTGTGAAAATCCTGTCCAGAGTACGCTACCTGTGACTTCTAGCTCAGGACACACACAACTGTGGTATTGCTCTGCCTCAGTTCCCTGACATAATAGCTTGTCTGTCTTGCCAGAGAACACTTTTGGACTCTGCCAGTCCAAATCTTGCTTTCCAAACCCCATTTCCTGAGGTCCACAGAGACATCACCCTGTACTGTCCAGTCCCTCTTACTGGACACTCACCGAAGTTATTGAGTTCACTACCACCAAAGAGACAGTGCATGCACCAGCATGTTAGGTTAGCTGAGGACTTGCCTTCCACTATTAATACACAGCACTGAGATGGTTTTGTAATAAAAACAAATTAGTTTAATAATAAAGAATAGATATTTAAGTGATAGGTATGGTTAGAAATAAAACAAAACACTCTTTCTAGGGACTGACACTCAATTTTAGCAAGTTACAATCTTTGTCTAAGCAGGTTTTGCACTTACATCAAGTTTCCAGCAGCTCTTGTCTTTCAGGCCAAGATGACCCAGCTTTCATAGGCTCAAAGGGTGCTGTCCCCTATCATCCTCTCAGTTATGGAAAACTAAATGGTCTTTTTGCTCCCCTTGTCTTCCTCAAAGTCCATTGTCTCTTCCTCTAGACCCAGAAAGGCTTCCTGGGGTGCTATTTCTATCCCTCACTGTGATTGTGTTTTCCTACCCAGCTTGTTTAGCTTGATGGGTTTGTTTACCTTAAATGTAAAAGTACTTTCATTGTTTGTTGCCTGTAACCAAGACATTCAGACAGGAAAATACATATTCTTTGTTTAGAACAGGCTGGTTTTATGTTTTGCCTCCCAAACACATTTTAAGACCATATTTCCAGCACACATCTATAACTCATTATGCACAACCCAGACATATATCACACAATTATTTTCAGGACTAGTGTGTCACCAGTTTATGTAGGATATCTTACATGACACTTTTGGGATATATATTGTGATAACAGCGTGTTGTGGCAATGAATGTGTCAGGCCTGATGTGAGTTAGAGTATGGGGGGAAGGGAGCCCTCTGCCAGTTGGCATTGAGGGGTTCTTGGGGTCACAGTACCTCAGTTTATGAGTGCCCAACTTCAGACCCCCAGAAGAGACCTGATTTTTCAGAAAGTACTGAGCCTCCACCTTTTGAAAGTCAGACCCATTTAAGGTGTTGCAAATTGGGCATCCAAAAATTGAGACACTCAATGACTAGTCACTTTTGAAAATCTTTCAAAGTCTGTGTGTGCTCATAAGTATCTACTTGGGAAAAAACTGCATTTCAATGCACCAACAAATACTTGCCTGTCCAAATATTTAGAGCTGAATAAGTAAATGACAGAGTTTATTAGTGCAATTGCATGAAGGTAAGTAGATTTTGCATTTCAAATTGGATCCTGAGTTAGGAAAATATTACATTGCTGCTGTTATTTATTACTTATTTGATATGGTTCAGTGATTTCAAGGAGGCTTAAGCAAGTGGGCACTTTTGAAAATCCCATTAAGTGCCTATCTGCATCTCTGGGCAACTAAATACCTTTAGAAGCAGACCCTGAGTCACTTGTACTAATCAACAGTTTACTCAAAGTTATTCTGTAAAAACTACCTTAGTGTAATTTCAGGAAGAAGAAGCGAGCGATCATTATGATGGTGATGGTGGTGGTTTTATTTGCAGTCTGCTGGGCCCCTTTCCATGTGATTCACATGATGATAGAATACAGTGAGTACCTACCACACTTCTTAAATTAAAGCATTTCCTTTTGAGTGTTTCTTTTTCTTTTTAGTAATGGAATCACTGATATTGTATCAAACTCTAGTGCTACTGCAGCATTAAATTGTTTAAAGCACGCATGGCCAGCTAAGGTGAATATGTGCTTTTAAATCTGGAATAATAAACACTCTCTTGTGATAGAAAAGTGGTTTTCAACTTATTTGTCGTTGTAGGCCGCATATGCAGCCTACAATGTGTTATGTGGGCTGCAGGTTGAGAACCACAGCGCCCCCCACCTGCCACCGACCATTATGCCCAGCACCCCCCACCCAGAGACCTGTCCACAGAGTGGGGACAGGAGTAGAGCCCTGGGCATGGGGCCGGGCAACCAGGACCCAAATCCCGGACCCCACTGTGTGGGCCCAGGCAGCTGGGACCCGGATTTTTTTTAGCACATAGCTGGGCTGCAGTTGTGTGCTAATTGGGCCACATGAGGCCCACAGGCTGTGAGAACCAATGTGATAGATGTACATGCTCATAATCAACAGATTATTTGACCAGGGTGGGAGGGGTGTCTGAGTGGCAGAGAGACATAGCTGCAGCTTACACTGTAAATATAATTATCTAGCTCTTCTCAGGTATAGTATGAGCGACCCATCTTGTAGCTGAGAGATACAGAGTAGACCTGTATGGTTTATTTTTTTATTTTTTTCATAGATAGTAAATTTGCTGGAAAATGCTTCTTTGGGGGCACCAAATCTATTTGTGAATTTAAGTGGAATTCAGCAAATAGTTTCATCTGGGGGGAAAAAAGATTTTTTTCCCCAAAAAAGTTGAAATAGTTCATTTTGCCCATTGTTTCAAAACAATCATTTAGAAATGTAGCTATATTTATTAAAAAAACAACAACCAAACAAACTAAAAAAGGGTAAAACCCCCACCCTTAAATGAACTGAAAAACTGACTCAAAGGAAAAAAAATCTGTGTTGAAGAAAACATGCCTTTTTGGAAGATATACTTTTAGCCCTAAGATGTGACCAGGAAAAGCTGGCTTGTGTTATAAATGATGATGAAAGTACACAGACCATGCCTAGTGGATCAAACAAAACAATTTTTTTTCTTTAAAAAAATATTATGGACTATCGTTCCAGGAAACTGTACCATGTCTGATGTAGGATATAACTCTCCTCTAAGATTCACTGTGAATCTCTTTGGCAAGTTTATGCATGCAGTCAAAACCAGTTCAGGTGGGTTGGGGGGGAGTGGAAAGCTTCAGCCAGCCTTTAACAACTTTGTCATCTTCTTCTTGTGTTTTATGGTGAAGCAGACTTACTTGGTGAGTCTATGATCCCCAAGCACTGGACACCATAGGTAATTAAAAATTAAAGGCTTTCACTTTTAATTCATAGCATTCTGAAAGAATTTCAGTATTCTTTTTAATAGGACCTCATTTCTCGATGCTCTTACTAGATGTTTCCATGAAAAAATTTGAACTTTAAGGCCTCTATTTTTTTCCCCATATAAAATACCTCTTTCAATGGTGCACTCTTTGCACTCCCAAAGGAGATGATCATCTGTTTCCTGGACCTTGCACATCCCACATAATCTGTCTTTGTTTGTTTGTTAGAAATAAATTACTATTTAATCTACAATGGCCAGTTACAATTCTAAATAGTCACTACACTCTATCTCTCAGGGTCTTGGAGTATATCAGCATATTTTACTCTTGGGCATATTTCATATTCTCCTTTGTTTCTTTTGCCCATAGTTCTTGCCATTCTTCTCAACTCATTTTAATTAGATTTTTAACCTCTAGTTTATTTAAAGGGCTCTCTAAATCAATTTACTCATTTTCAACAGCAATTTTTTTGCTATTTTGTCAGCCCGGTAATTGCCCACTACCCTGTGTGCGCTGGGATCCATGCTATTACTATGATTACACACAACTACATCAAATCTATTGTTAACAGTAATATTTCATTCAGAATATCATTTCTGCTCTCTGAAGAGCCATTGCTGATTGCCAGTAGTCCAGAAAAGGAATCAGAGAAGATGACTGTAGCATCTGGGTGCACATCTATGAACCTATTTAATGCCAGCATTATCCCTGCCAATGCAGCTGTCAAAACAGCTATAAAATTTGATAGTTGTGCAGTTTGCTTGACTCTGAGTGCAGGAATACAGAAAGCTGTTTCCATTTTTCCTGTTCTTACATCTTTGTAGCAATGAGTATATATTGGACAGTAGCATTCCCATTTACCACCAATGTATTAATTTGCTATAGCTTGCACATGTAACACTCCTTTTCCAATCGTAATATATTTTCCCAAAGTTATAGATTTTAATCTCTTTTAGGTCTTTGCTTGCACCAAGATCTTTTGTCCACACTTTAACCTTGCTTACATGAGGCATTCTGAGTTTTTGCCCTACACATTGCCCACTTAATTCCCAGCATTCATCCTATATTAGTTTGGCGTTTTCATCTTCACAGTTTCCAATGACTTTAACCCAAAAGGTTAAGTCTAAAAGCTTTATTCTTAAAGCAATGGACAGTTCACCGGCAGCTATCTGCATTCCACACAGCGATGCTGCGAGGAAGGCACCACGAGCAATTTGCAACCCCAGAGCTTGGACTGAGTCAAGCTTTCTCAAATTCATTTCTGAGGCTGAACCAAAAGCCTGGTACCTGTGCTGAACAATTGGTCTTATTGGAGTTCTATATAACATCACAAATACTCTCTTATCCACTCACCAGGAGGTTCGAGAAGTACTTCCAATATGATTCTTCCAAGTAAGCGTGCTATCAAATATCACGCCTAAAAATCTGTAGCTTTTAACTGTACTTGTTTGCTATCCATATAGATATGACTTATAATCTTTTAAAATTTTACTTTTAGTGAATATCATTCCCTTAGTTTTGTCAATTTAGAATTTAAAGCCTCACGTTTTTCCATTCTGCACCTGTCCTTAGTGCTTCATTTACTCTTTTAGCAGCCCCTTCCAGGTGTCTGTGACGCCTGTGGCAAAATCATCAGCAAATAAAGTGATGCCTGTTCCTGCAAAACTTACCTCTTTTGGAAGATCATTCATCATGATCACCCTGTGGAGTGCCATTTGTTAGTGTACATATATTGGAGTAGGCTTTTCCTACTCACACCTGCATCGTTTTCTTACTTAAGAAATCCCTTATCCACCTAGACTTCCTTCCTTTTATACCCATGGCAGCCACTTTATGAAGTAAACCCTCTCTCCAGAATATTCCATAAGCTGTTTCAATATCCAGAAAAGTTACTATCGTAAATTTAGGTTTCAGAGTAGCAGCCGTGTTAGTCTGTATTCGCAAAAAGAAAAGGAGTACTTGTGGCATCTTAGAGACTAACCAATTTATTTGAGCATAAGCTTTTGTGAGCTACAGCTCACTTCATCGGATGCATTTAGTGGAAATTTAATTTTCATACTTTTTTGTTTCCGCTTCTAGCCTTACAGTGTGGTCAATCACACGCCTTCCCCTCCTAAACCCACTTTATGAGCTATTTATGAGTCTACTTCTCTCTACGTCTCGCACCAACCTCTCAGTTACCACTGTTTCCATGCTTTTACCCAAGCATGCTGCAAGGGCAATTTGCCTGTGTGCATCAGGTCAAGATCTCGGCTTGCCTGGTTTCTTTGCTGTAACAGTAACTGCAAGCTTCCACTCGACTGACATATCACCTTTCCCCCATATGATATTGCCCAATTTTAGTATCATCCTCAGACTTCTTTCAGACAGTTGTTTAAGCATTTCAAAGCTCATACCATCTGGCCTGGAGCAGTATTTGTGCTCTTTTTTATAGCTTTTGGAAGTTCCCTCATACTGAAGTTTTCATTTAAAATTAATGAGGAGTCCTTGTGGCACCCTAGAGACTAACAAATTTATTTTGGCATAAGCTTTCGTGGGTTAGAACCCACTTCATCAGATGCATGGAGTGAAAATATAGGAGCAGGTATAAATACATGAAAGGATGGGGGTTGCTTTACCAAGTGTGAGGTCAGTTTAACAAGATAAATCAATTAACAGCAGGATACCAACGGAGGAAAGATAACTTTTGAAGTGGTAAGAGAGTGGCCCATTACAGACAGTTGACAAGAAGGTGTGAGTAACAGTAGGGAGAAATTAGTATTGGGGAAATTAAGTTTAGGTTTTGTAATGACCCAACCACTCCCAGTCTCTGTTCAGGCCTAATCTGATGGTATCCAGTTTGCAAATTAATTCCAGTTCTGCAGTTTCACGTTGGAGTCTGTTTTTGAAGTTTTTTGTTGAAGAATTGCCACTTCTAGTGGTGCTAGTGGTGTTCTGTTACTTTCTTTGTTGGGACTGTCTTGTAGCAGGTGACTTCTTGGTACCTGTGTCATCTTCCTCCCACCTGTTCAATATCCCATTGTTTTCTTCAGTGTATTTTCTTTTCCTCTCACAGATATCTATACTCTCATTCTCATCATTACTAGCTCTTTCAGCCCTGAACTGAGTCAGCCTCTCTCCTTTATTTCCTCTCCAGGTTTGGCAATGGCTGCAGGTATAGTGAGGTGAGGCTACCTGGGCCCATAGACTCTCCTTTACCCCTTTTCTGTGAATGTGGGGCCTCTTTGCCCCATCACAGTCCCCAACTGGGGACAGCAATTAAGACAACTGGTATCAAATGAGGAAGACACTGACACCCGCTCCCAAATCTGAATTTAAAATGTCTCCTTCCTACTGTTGCTTCTTCTCAAGCCCAAGTCAAATCTCACAAGACAGGGAGTTGGCAGCCGCAAATCTATTCTTGTGCCCGGGGTCTAGGAGGCCCCTCTTAGGCTTGCCTTTCTCACACTCTCTCCTTTTATGGTGTGTGGAGGAGGAGCAAAGAACAAGCACTCATAGTCAGCATGTGAGTGCTGTGCTCAAGAAGTGGCAGAATGCAAGTACTGGAAATACTGGAAGTGCCATAGCACCTTCCAGCTCCCCCAGACAGTGCCAGAACAATGACCCTGAATATTCCAGCAGGACTATTCAAGCACTGCTCACGGTACTCTGTCTCCCTGTGGGGGCTCCTCTCACCCTGGACATGAAGGGTCTGCAGCTGTCAGAACTGGCTCTGCAGACAGTGCAATGCCAGAGTATACTACAGAGCTGCTTTGCTGCTAAGACATCCTCAGTGCAAATCAGAGACTACCTGTGGGTTTTGTCCTAAGTTATTTTTGGCTGCTGCCACAGCTGTCTCATAGAAATTTCAAACCAAATTGTGGATCCTGACTACTGCAGTCCTTCTTTGCTTCTACGTGCTTCAGACACCAAGGGTCTCCTTTAAAACACTAGCAACTAAGTATCAGCACAGAGCAAAGGGGCTGATGCATTTCTCTTCCTCACTACATTGATTAATCGGTTGAAAACACCCAATTCACTACAACCAAAGCCATTCATACATTATATAAAATCACTTTTTTTGGAACTATTAGCCTGTACCTTAAGTGAGCTGTAGATCACGAAAGCTTATGCTCAAATAAATTGATTAGTCTCTAAGGTGCCACAAGTACTCCTTTTCTTTTTACTTCTCTCCTTGTCACTGATCACTCTCTGCTACTTGGACACCTCTCTGATCAAACTGCTTTATTGTTGAACAAAACAAAGCAACAAACAAAAAACCCCCACCTGTCACCTTCCACTGTAAACTTGTAGTACGTAGACCCTATTTCTAGAATTGAAAGAGGAAAGTCACTTTTTAATATTTTCTGACACTGAATATTCAGAAATTGGGGTGAGAGCCAGATGAGAAATAATAGGTGAGAAAAGAGTTTATAGGGGCATGTACACTTGCATGTTCTTACAAATGTGTATGAATGGAGAGAGAGAGAAACAGAAAAAATTATGTTGGGCCAATGTTTCCACTTGACGGAGGAAGCTGGTTTCCTGTGCTCTGTAACTGTCATCAAACACTGGTCTGATTACATCCATTTCAGTGTGAACTGTACTTATATACTTCCTGAATTTCTGTATTGATGCAGCATGTGACTGACTGAGATTATCAGTAAATACTGTATTTTAAAGCTGTATCCTGATTTGACCAATGTGGTTAGTTACAGCCAGACAGTAATCCATTCCTTAAGGAGATTTTGTGCATGCAACAGGACATGCATGTTTATATAAAGTACAGGTCACCCATTCCTTGAAGCCGAAACTCTGCTTCTACACTGACCAGAGATGAGACTCTGAAATGAATTCAATTCCTGGTGGACAAAAGTGAGGCTTGGTGAGTTAAGCACAGGATTGTGAGTTGGTTTCAAGTTGTAATCCCAGCTCTGCTACTGATTCATTGCATGGCTTGTCACTTCCCCTTTCTTCCTTTCCCCTGTCTGTAAAACGGGGCTAATATTTACTCAGCTAATGATAGCTTGCTTTTATAGTGCTTTTCATCTGTTGATCTCAAAGCACTTTACAAAGGAGTCAGTATCATTATCTCCATTTTACAAAGGGGGAAACTGAAGTACAGAGATTTACCCAGCAGGCCAGTGGCAGAGCTGGGAATAGGACCCAGCTCTTGTTAGTCCCAATACAGTGCACTCTCTTTTAGGCCACACTGCCAGCGACTATGTCAAGTGCTTTAAAAATGTGAAGTTCTCTATAAATACTCATGTTGATTAAATGGCTAGAGCATTACCTGCTTATATGTAGCCTGGATTGGACCCAAAGTGTGTGAGTACAGAGAAGAGAGCTAGTTTCCCACTGTGTGAGCTGTAACAAAGGCAGAGGACAGTGTTTGGTGACAAAAACAGTGTTTACAAATCTGAAGTGAAGATAGAACATGGGGGATAATGGCGTTTAAATAAACAATGTATGTAACTGACTGGTAGCTTTGTGTCATTCAGCTGTCTGTTAATTTTACAATTCATAAATTGCAGTTTTCAGACTATCTTTATACGACTGTATTTTGTTTTGCTTTCTGGTCAAAACCCATTATTAAAATGGATAAAAACATCTCATAACTTTTTCTTGAAGCTGAACAAGAACTTCTGACCTGCAAGGGTGGGGATAGTGTGTGGGTATCTATATAACTATATTTCCTTTTTCCCAGGTAATTTTGAAAGTGTGTATGATGATGTCACAATCAAGATGATCTTTGCTATTGTTCAGATCATTGGGTTTTTCAATTCCATTTGTAACCCTATGGTATATGCCTTTATGAACGAGAACTTCAAGAAAAATTTCCTCTCTGCAATTTGCTTTTGTATTGTCAAGGAAAACCCATCCCCTTCCAGGCGACTTGGAAACTCAGGGATTAACATGATGCAGCAAAAGGCAAGTCTTTCTCAAAGAGAGCCCGCTGCTTTAGACGAGGCCAGGAGAGAAGCATTCAGTGATGGCAACATTGAAGTCAAATTCTGTGATCAGCCAGCTGCAAAAAAGAATACAAAAAGGCAACTTGCTTTGTTTGCTTCTGAACTCACTGTGCACTCTGCATTAGAGAATGGACACTAGCATCATGAACCGTGGTTGGGTTTTTTTTTTTCAGTATTAGAGAATTGCTTCCTATATTTGATATCTTTCAACAAACCATTTTATTTTATTTTCTACTTTGCACATTGAAGTGAGAAAAGAGAATATATTTTCTGTTTTATGGCAATGCTAGAATATGTTTTCAAAACAGTAATATATTTTTCAGGGGTTAAGAATAAAACTTTGGAAAACAAGTTCCATTATGATTACTAGAAATATTTTTCTTATGCCAGATTCTGGCTCTGTGGGGTTTACCCCCGAATGCGGGCAAACTAACATTGTTTTTCTATTAGCAACTCTGTTTACTTTGTGCCTGTGTTCTGGCTGGCCATGGGAATGTGTACAGCTGACTGTGCAAATTGCCTGAAGGTATAATCAATGGGGTGAGCACATACAACCTCTGGGAAGGTCTGGATTCCGTATGGACTATGCTACTTCTACCAAGGCCTGCCCTCTGCAGTTCAGTGGACAAAGGGACTGCAGATTAGTCTGGGAGGAGGCAAGATTGAGACACATCAGGTATATTATGCATTTTTCTTGTGCTATGTATGTGAAAGGCCAGCCAGAATTCGTCTGTATGGAATAAGACTTAAACACTGTATGCATACTAAGGCTTTTGTTAAGGGAAGTCAATTTGATATCAACAATATACTGCTTGTGTGTGTCTAACTGATGTGCTGTCATCACAGGATAATTAACTGAATACAAATATAAATGTTACAGTGGACTGGCCTGTAAACTGCATCACTTTCATTGAAAAATGCACAGAAGTGCAGTAAAGTCATCAATACAATGTAGAAGCTGGAGGATGTGCTCTCTAAAATACAGTTGTTAGTTTAAGGTCCCAATTTAGATACATTGCCTGATTAACTGCAGCAATGCCATCACTATAGGGCATGGGTGGGCCCACGAGCTCCCGCTGGGGAGCGGGGTCTGGAGCTTGCCCCGCTTCAGCGCTCCAGCTGGGCCACTGGGTCCGGGGTGGGGCGGCGGGCACCATGCGGCTCGGCCCTGCTGTGGTGCTCCAGCAGGGCCACTGAGTCGGGAGGGCTGCACCATGTGGCTTGGCCCGCTCTGGTGCGCCAGGTGGGCTACTGGGTCAGGGGCTGCTCTGGTGCTCCAGCTGGGGTGCTGGGTTCGGGGCCGTACCATGCGGCTTGGCTCCGCTCCGCCACTCCAGCCGGGGCACAGGGTCGGGGGCCACACCAGGCGGCTCCCAGAAGCAGCGGCATGGCCCCGCTCTGGCTCCTATGTGCTCCAGTGGCCTCCTCTAGTGCTCCAATGGGAGCTGCAGGGGCGGTGCCTGCGTAGGAGCTGGAGAAGAGACATACCACTGCTTCCGGGAGACGCTTGAGGTAAGCGCTGCTTGGAGCCTGCACCATGCCCCAACCCCCAGCCCCAGCCCTGACCCCCCTCCCACTCTCCAAACCCCTCGATCTCAGCTCAGAGCATGCTCCTGCACCCCAAACGTCTCATCCTCAGCCCCACCCCAGAGCCCACACCCACAGCTGGAACCCGCAGTACTTCCTGCACCCCTGCCCCAACCCTGATCCCCCTCCCACCCTCCGAAACCCTCGGTCCCAGCCCAGAGCACCCTCCTTCACCCCAAACTCCTCATCCCCAGCCCCACCCCAGAGCCCACACCCCCAACCAGAGCCTTCACCCCCACCCCAATTTTGTGAGCATTCATGGCCCGTCATACAATTTCTATTCCCTGATGTGGCCCTCAGGCCAAAAAGTTTGCCCCCCCCGCTATAGGGCCTGTATAGAGTACAGGGCCTGATCCAATACCCACTGAAGTCAATAGGAGTCTTTCCATTCCTTTCAGTGGGCTTTGGATCAGGCCCCTTCTCAGTAAAATCATAAGTAGAATCTTCTAGTTTTATTTTTCTGTGTAGCATGTCCTTACTCCCTAAATGGATTGCTTTCTCTCCAGGGATAGCCCAGTACTCACTCACTCCGAGTTTTTAGCAAACTACAAGGTTGAAGTGGCACACAGTGAAAATGTGAAGTCAGTACAAATGTGAACTACTAGAAGTGGGCGAAAACTAGAACTTTGAATTTGAACTTATTTGCATTTCTGGGCCAGGGAGAAGAAGCATGTTTAGATTCTTATTCTCTGATATGATTACACCAGAATTGATTCAAAATTGGATCCAAAACCAAAACTTGCTTGTTTTTTTGTTTCAGTTTAGATGCAGCTGGAATCCCTGAACAAGAGGTCGAGATTTCAGTGCCCTTTGATTGTCACCTCATACCTCACCCTAACTGTGATTAGCTGAATTCAAATCTGAGAGATGACCCTTCCCACTACTCTGGCATTGTAATTTACACCTATCTTAAGGCTCCGTTACACTGCCAGTGTTGTTAAGGGAACTTAAATGTAAATGAGAATCTGACCCTAAATCTGTTTCACATCAGAATACTTCCACATTTTCACATCTGAAAAGAAATTTCAGCACTGGTTTGAGAGCCTATTTTAAAAGGCTATTTATTATTTATAGGGCACAAAATTGTCAAAAACGATAAAATGATAGTTTAAAGTTACAGACTTACTCATAAATGGAAGCCAGATTTGAAGACAGGTGACTCTGATCTTATTTACACCAGTGTATGAGTTAGATAAAATAGTGATTTCAGCAGAGCTTCAACTGTGTAAATCAGTGTAACAGAGATCAGAATCTGGCTCAGAGACAAACACAGTAGTAGAGAACGTTACTGGCAAACTTTGGGGACAATTTCTGCCCCTGGCTATACATGCCCAACTTCCTCTGAAATCTGTTGGATTTATGCATCTGTCTGAGGAGATTATCTGATCCTAGCTTTTGGTTTTCATGTTTCCAACCGGCAGGAAATCGCTCTGTAAGGCTTTTGTACATTTATATTGTGATTGGAGAATGCAGCTTAGTGATGGTAGTTTGTTCTCATATACTGTACATTAACTGGGGGAAATTTTCTGGTCAGTGATATGAGAGTCTGTTCTTTGACAGATTCTGTAACTGAAAAGCACCCTGTTATTTGTAGCTTTGCTTGAGTCTTTTTGTTTACTTGCACTGATAAATTCAAGGACAGACTTTGACCAAAAATATTCGTAGTTATTTTGTCAAATTTTCAAGTGAACGCTGCTTTGTGTACTGCTTATTCTCTTATCATAAAGCATAGTGTATAAAGAACTGAATATGTGGCACGGTTTAAATTTTACAGTAAAAATGATCTGCTGTAGCATTGTTCACATTGTGATGCTCCTAATGGTGGTGCAAGGGCGTAAATACCAACCTCAGGGCAGACTGTTAAGAAAACAGGGCACAAAACCCAAATTGTTTGAGTTCTTAACTTATATTTCACCAACACAATTGCACCAAGTGCAAACTCCTCAGGCACTTCAACAGCTTTAACAGAGTCTTAGACAGTTCCCTTGGGTGCTCTGGTCTGTCTTGCCACCCAGGTGAGTGCATTGCTGTGATAGATGGCTCTTTAAACCAAGAATCACAGCAATATTCAGATTACTCCCAGTCCCAAAGGACCAGTCATTTACCCCAGATCAATTGCGCTTTAGGTCTCACACCAAGGATAATGCTTATAGCCAATCCTATAGTAAAGGATTTACTAAATATTTATTAAATAGGAAAAGGATATTAGACACTTATTTACAAGGCTAAGGCAAGCAAATATAAACACACTGAGTTACAGCCTTAGGTTATAAAGGTAATTGAGGCTTCTATAATCAGCAAGATTTGTCCTTTGGGGTAACCTAGGCTAAGCAGCTGGGGATCTCTTGCTTATGCCTCGAAACCCCTTGCTTCCCAGAGTCCCAGCAACATAGTGGATATTAGTTCCTTTTGTTTGAGGTTTTTATCTTCCTCCGGCCACGTGCTCTCTGCTTATGGGAGTATGGGTGGCGCATGAACCACTGGCTTGGGGAGGCTAGCGCCCAGCCCCGCCCCATCTGCCTGAAGCGTTGCCCCTTCCATGCCCTCCCCCGCCCCCCGCCAGAGCCCAGAGCCTTCCACTGTAGCTGCCCCAGGCTAATGCTCCCAGCCCTGGAGCACTGGGAGGACGGTCAGCCCTGCCCCAGCTCTGGAGCGCCAGGAGGGCAGGCAATACAGCCCCAGCCCCCCTGTCTCCCATCCCCGGAGTGTTGGGAGGGTAGGCAGCATGGCCCCAGCCCTGGAGCTCCAGGAGGGCAGGCAGTGTGGCCCCAGCCCCCTTCCCTCCTGCAGTGCTGGCAGGGTGGGTGGCATAGCCCCAGCCCCAGGCCACCAGCTCCAGCACATGGGAAGGGCTGACTTGCAGTAGAGCGAGAAGCAGGAGTGGGTCTGGGAGTGGAGCATAGGTGGGGCCATGCCTGGCTTTTTGGGGAGGCTCAGCCTCCCCCAGCCTATGACAGCCCCATCCCATGTATGGGAGGAGTCCACTAGCAAGATTAATCTTCATGGGGAGGAGAGTAGAATAAGAATAAGAGTTTTTCGACCTTTGGTTGACAATTCTTCAATACAGATGTAGGGAGTTTCTAGGTGTAAGATCCAACCACAGCCTGTCTGGTATGAATGGGTCTCCTCTTTTGGGAGGGCATAATAATTTCTGAGAAGAGCAGCTCTTCACCTCTCCTGTACAGTGATTCATAGAGTCACAGAGGCTCACACTAGAACCACTCACTCTACACTCACTTATTTGCTATATCTGCATTCCATATTGTAATGTAATAGCATTACAGTATGGGATACAGATATTGCAAGTAAGAGTAATGCACGCAGCAACTCACAAGCATTTAATAGAGCCCAAACATGAAACACTTTCTTGTAATTCTAATATCTATCCTATCAATACTAACATGGGTGGTGGGTGGAGCCCCCCCTTTGGAGATGCTAGCCCCTGGCCCCGCCCCTTTCACCTGCACCCTCCCCGTGGCTGAGGAGCCCTTACCCCCGTGGCTGGAGCCACAAGCCCCTGCCCAGAGAGCCCCCCTCCCCAGTCACAGAAGCCCCAGGCCAGCAGAAACCCTGGCTCTCCCCACCACCATGAACACTAACCCACAAGTGAATGAGACAGATTCTAGCTATGTATCTGTCAGTGTCCAGCTGAGACATGGGGACCTGGGCATGATCTACCAGTGTCACACACATCGGTAATATTAGTACAAGACATATTCCAGAATTGCTTTGTGTTAAAGATTCTCAGCATCAACTGGCCTGACTTTCTCCAGGACCGAAGTTCTGTTAAAAGTACTAGTTGCTGCTGTTATCCTGAAAGATGTGATTTGGATGAGACCCTGCATAAAAAAAAAAAGAAAAGAAAGGGAGACCACAAAGCTCTAATGACTTTTGCAAGCTGGTAGATTATGTAGCACAGTAATATGTGGTTAACAAATTTAGACTAACTGCAATACAAACAATGACAGATTTTGTCAGATTTAATATCCCAAAAAGTCAGTGTATGTCTGATACCTTGTTCTGAGAAAACCAGTGTAATCAGTTTGAGGACATGGGGTGGAATCCTAGCCTCACTGAATTCAATGGCCAAATTTCTATAGACTTCTATGGGGCTTGAATTTCACCTATGGATTTTAAGATAATTGGATCAAACCAAGGGTAGTAAGGACACAGGAATTGCTATATTGGATTGTCTAGCTAGTCATGGACCCTGTCCCTCACAATGGCTAGTACCATAGGCACTGATCCATAGGTGCTCTAGGAGTCAAGCACCCACCAAAAAAAAAAAAATAGGGGGTGCTCAGCACCCGCACGGCCGGTTTAATCTTTTGTGGGCTCCCACACCTGGACCATGGCCTTACCCCCTGCTCCGCCGACATGCTGCCCCCAAAGCCCCCCCTCAGCTTCTTTGCCCCAAGGCCCCACCTGCCACTCCGCCCCAAGGCCCTGCCCCCATTAGACCACTTCCCCCTAGGCCCTGCCCACAGGGCTGGATTAATTTTGTGGGCCCCAACACCCTGACCATGGCCCTGCCCCCCATTCCATGCATGCTCTGCCTAAGGCCCTGCCCCCAACTGGTCTCTTCCCCCTGAAGCTCTGCCTGCAGCTTGCACGGGGGAGGAGGAATGGAGGGGAGCCCCCTCTGGCAAAACAAAAGTCAGCACCTGTGGCCAGTACCAAATATTTCTAGGGAAAGTTCAAGAAACACCTGCCCCAGCGTGATAGGGTGTCCACCCCAGCCCCTGAAGGGGTTACGGTGGTGAGCTGGGCCAATAAACCACCTAGGCTACACCTGGAGGAGGAGCCCAGGTGCAATGAGGGCCAATTAAAGGATGAAGCTCACCTGGACAGCAGCAGGTAGGGCTTGGATAAAACCAGGTAGCTGGGGGCAGAAATAGGTTCTAGAGAGGCAGTCTATAGTTATCCTCTCTGAGGCTAGGAAGTAAGAGTATGCTCAGAGGTGAATAGAGCAGCAACCTGGTAGAGGTAATGTGGGAAGTGGTTTGGGGGAAACAGTAGCAAGCTGTGGGGCAGTGCAGACCTTAACTGCTGGTTGTAGGGTACCTGGGCTGGAACCTGGAGAAGAGAGTGGGCCTAGGTTCCCCTACCAGCAGTACGACTGAGGGGGAGTGAATTGACAAACTGCCTGAGATGGCTGGTATAGAGAGACTTTGGTATGTGAACCCTCTTGGAGGGGAAAACTACAGTGATCTGGCTAGAGGGCCAAGCCACAAAGAGGAGGCAGTTGAGGTGTATGTGAGAGAGACACACACACATGTAGTGAACACAGGCAGAAAAGGGTGTCACACTAACAGAACTAATCCCCAGTTGTAGTCACAAGGAGATGCTCCAGGGGTGAATAGAGCACCCTGTGATACCAGGGGAAGTTTCTTTTTAACCCCTGTTAATTAGAAACTGGCTTATGCTTTTAACCTGGAAGCCTTATATACTTCTAAAGGTCTTGGGTTTTTTATCCTACTATTATAACTACTTATAGTTTTGTTCATAAAAATGTCCAGTTTTTATCTGAATCCTGATTAAAAATGAAGTCAGGAACTTACCTTGTGACCATGAATTCCACAGGCTAATTGTTTGTCATGCAGAAGTACGTCTAGTGCTATCCCACTGATGCAATTACCAACGGTTTAATTCTTTGCTATAGAGGACTGATTGATTTTTATGCAGTCAATCTGGGTATTACTAATCACCACTTACCTTTCTGACTAATGTACAACATGACTAGAAGCTAATTTTATGCTTATTAAGAGAGTTTTTAATAAGCCAGGAATGATATCTTAAAAGTTCCATTATTGAAAATGTTTTAACTCTTAATAAGTGAGTAATCCTATTGATTTAAATCAAACTACCTATATGCATAAAGTTACTCCATGTAGGATGGAATTCACAAAATATTTAGGTACCTAAACATCAGACAGTGCTAAACCTGAAGTTTTAGATGCCTAAGTCCTGGTGTTAGGCTCTACTGTGATCCAGGAATCTCCCACAGAATATTTTAGGTGCCTAAACTCACTTAAAGCTTCAATTTTCAGGGTAAAAGTGGCCTAGGTTTCCACCTCTGAGCATGTGCACTGGTTCCTCACTCCAGCCATCTAGATGTCCTATCACCTGCCTAAGCCCCAGAGCAATTCACAAATGGAGGGAAGAGAGGTGTCAACCTGCCTAATTTGCATGCAGGGCCTGATCTGGTAGGCAACCCCTAAGCACACCTATCAGGGTGAGTCCCATTCAAAATCTGAATGCTGCAGGAGAATAGGCATTACCACTCATTTTATAACTTGCAATTCAGTGGTTAGAGCATGTACCTGGAATGTGGGAGACCTAGGTTCAATCCCCCCACTGTCCAGGTGGAGAAAGGATTTGAACAGGTGTCTCCTACTTCTTAAAGTGCTGTCACTGTGACCTATTGTGAGGTGGGGCTCTCCATCTTTCCTGTTAAAGTTGTTTTGCTTTGGATTAAATATTTAGTCAGTGGGCTAGAGAGAGTTGCCGTACCCTAGTGGTTAGGGCACCCACCTTGGGGAGACAGGGTCCAGATCCCTGTGTTCCAATGACTCTTGAATTATTTATCCAAACTGGAACAGCTTCAACAGCATTGATTGTGAGGGAGCCACATCAGAATATCCTGGTGATTAGAGCATCCACCCGAGAGATGGGACACTTGGTGAAATCCCTTCCCCTCAGGCAGGGGTGGGAACTGAACCTGCATCCCCCACATCCCGGGT